TGGACTTGGCTCTTTCATATTAATTTTAATGTTTGATTTGAAATTGCACTGGTTCTCCCAAAGAAGATTTTAAATCAGGCAGTGATGATGATGATTATTATTATTATTATTATTATTATTATTATTATTATTATTGTACTTTTTCTCATCAGTTATTTCTCTCAAGTAGTTCATTCTTATGCAGGAGGTAGATCATACCACAGGGATCCAGAGAAGGTGGGTCCACTCTATTCCAGAGCTCCAGATGAGGTGTCTGTTCTACTAACAATCTTTACCCTCCTTTGCATGATCAGTTCCACAACAGAAAACTAGCATTTCCACACGGGATTACATAACTTGTGGGAGTGTCTACGTGCTTTATCTCTTTGCATGGCTTGTTGCCAAGTGTATGTGTTTCTTGTGACAAAGATGAAATCCTCACTGAAATGTCAGAGGTCTTTATTTTTTCTTTTTGCTCTATTTTCTCACTGACTTACTTATTCTCAGTGTTCTGAACCTCTCTCCCCTCAGTGTGGTGAGACAGACTAAGGTTGGAGAGGAGGAAGCAGAGGGTTTCTTTCCCAAATTCTTTTCAGCAATTATCCACACTGAGTAGTATTGTATAAGAGACTGAGCCCACATGACTCTGAGATCCCTCAGCTGTGAAAAAATAGACTTCACTGTTGACTAGCTTGGTCACCTTTTGACAAGTTCTTTGGTAAGGCATCCATAAAACAGCAGTGGAGGTGGCTCCTGCCTCCTGGGTACTGTGATGTTAGATAAGAGGATGTAGATAAATACCTGGTAAAATGCCTGGCATAGAAAGTATGCTACTTTTTCACATTATAAGTCTTTAAGTTATCAGAAAATGAAGACTCGTGACAAGTGTGAGGAAAGGGGAAGATCACTGACACTTGTGGACAAGCAAAGGTTTTATGGAGAATGATCAGGACACAGGATCACTTCCATTCTTTCTTGAACAAGTTATTGAATCTCTCTGAGCTAATTCCCTACACATGAATAGGGGATGTAGTAGTTGTTCTACATAATCTTCTGAAAATGAAAGAATATATGTCAATGACTTAGTATATGATATGTAATAAATTAAGTTTCTATGCACAATTTTATTTTAACATAAAGACAAGACTTTGTGCTCAAGGAACTCAAAATAACACATGTACAAGGTAGACCAGTTCTCCCTTTAGCATCTCCTGAATCAGTCAGGAAAGATGTTCTGAGAACTTGAAGACATGAGTTCATTCTATCATTGAATAAAATTCCACCCCGAAAGTGTGGTTTACCATTGTCATGCACATGGAGTTGAATGGGAACAGCTTTCCATGAGTTTCTCTTGGATTTTGAGAGAAAGCTTCTGTTGTACGTTTATCAAGATGTATCTAATGTCCAGAGTAGAGCCTCAGACACAATGTTTACTCTTAAATATTGATGCTTCATGTTTAAGTGACCTAGTAGCGCCTTGAAGGGCCATTTTCTGAATCTTGACAGGATGACATGAAAGTATCAAACTCAACATTTGTTAAGAAATGAGAAAAAGAGGCCATATTCTTTACTCATGAGTAGTTCCAAACCTTGTTTTGAAAGCATTAGAGTATCTCTAAAGGGATCACACCAATAGGTTACAAGTTTGCTTTGTTGCATCTTATAGAAAATGTGGGGTTGATGGTTTAATGGCCTTTTGAACAAATGGAGATTTGTTTTTCTCATATTAAATACTACCAGGAGGAAGGTGCTGCCAGGTTAGTTTCAATATTTCACCCCCAGCTTCTCAGTTACTCATTATTGGCCCTGTGCCCAATAATTGTAGTCTAGTGGTCAGAGCTGACTCTTACAAAGACTGGTATGATATCAGGCTTCAAGATAGAAATGGTGTTCCATTGACAGCAGTAATTAAAAAGTGATGTAAACAGGTAAAGCAATAAATTTAACCCATGAGGCAAAGGATATCCACAATGAAAACTATAAAACAATGATAGCACCTGTTCATGGATTCAAAGAATTAAGATGAAAATGTCCATGCTGCCAAAGTGATCCACAGATTCAATGCCTCCCATTCAGTTTCTTCACAGAACTAAAAAGAGGCCAATTCTAACATTTATATAGAACTGCCACAAGCCACAGCAAAAGTTTGTATCTTAAACAAAGGAAATGGTTTAAGATACCCAACTTCAGAATAAGCCCATAGTAATCAAAAGAGACAGTATTGGCTAGCAAAACTGGATGTTCAAGTAGGCAGAAGTACCAGATCTTTCTGTCTTACCAGCTACAAAATGATCACAGATTGAATTGAAAACTTAAGTGTGGTACTCTACATAGTGAGACTATAAGAAGAAAATGTAGGGAAACACTTAAGGACATGGGAATGGAAATATTTTTTTTTGTTTAAGATGTTTAAAGCACAGAGAACAAAACCAGGAGATAGAAAAGTGTAGTTGCATCAAACTATAAAGATTTTTATGTAGAAAAGAAACAATAAAGTAAGAAGACAAGAGTGCAAAATGGGAGAAAACGTTGGCAAACTCCTCAGTTGAAAAGGGGATACACACATACACATGCTCAGAAAACTGAATTGCAAAGTAAGTAACTAGATTTTTAATAGGATATACACATATAAAGACAGCCCTAAAAGGACTAAATTACCAATAGATACATGTAAAAAGGCTCAATATCATTAATCATGGAAAATTCAAAGCAAAACCATAATCACTTCACTCCAGTAAGAACATTTGTATCAAATATCTAGAAAAGTGCTGACCAAAATGGAAGTGTAGCCCTTGCATAGGTTAGTATGGATGTTATGATAATTCAGGAGTTTCTCAAAAAGTTAAAAATAAAACCACCATATGGTGTGTGTGTGTGTGTGTGTGTGTGTGTGTGTGTGTGTGTGTGTGTTGTGTGTATCCAACAGAAGTTAGAATATTGAAAAACAATAGCATGCCCGTGTTTATCGTAGTTCCTTATACCATAGTGAAACCACCAGTGTCCATCAATTAGTTAATAAGAAAAATGTGGTACATGCAGAAAGGAATACTGTTTAGCCATAAAACGTGAAATCCTACTCTTTGCAAAAAGATGAATGGAACTGGAAATAATTATGTTAAGTCAAACAAGACAACACAGGAAGTCTAATATTATATGATATTATTTGTGTATAGAATCCAAAACTGTTGATGTCTTAGAAGTCAACAGTACAATAGTGGATACCAGAAGCTGAAAAGACTGGAAAAGAGCAAACAATGGAGAAGCTAATGAACCATATTGAGTTATAACTGGATAGGAGCAAGATGTATAGTATGCTGTTGAGTGTAGGTGACAGTCACTTAGAAAAAAAAAAAAAAACAGAATCAGACAGGTGGTGGTGGTGTGTAGGGAGAATCCCCACCAAACAGGCATGGTCACTGCTACAGGTAGGTGGGGATTCTCCCTACAATGGTGCACGCCTTAATCCTAGTACTAGAGATGCAGAGGCAGGCTGACCTGAGAGTTCGAGGCCAGCCTGGTCTACAGAATGAGTTTCAGCTCAGGCACAGTTACACAGAGAAACCCTGGCTTAATAAGTAAGTAAATAAGTAAATAAAGAAATAAATAAATAGACAGACAGGAAGAAAAGAAGAAGAAAAACACAGAAGAAAGGAAAAACCCAGAATAAAGGATTTAATGTTCTCATTCTAAAAGAATGACAAGTGTTTGAGAGAATGCATACATTTTACCTAAATATTCAATAGTGTGTGCATGTTTTTAAACATCACACAGTACCCTGTAAATATGTATACTTTTACATTTCTGGATTATTCTAATACTATTTTTTTTAAATCCAGTGATGACATTAAAGTTTAAAGGGTAAACCCAACCCTCATTCTCCACTCCATTAGTTATTATTGGTAATTCTTGATCCCATGAGAGTTGTAATTCATTGTTTCTTGTGGTCAACATCAGTTATCACTGCTACCCAATGTGTGTTATCTTCCTTTCCGTAGCTGTGTCGGATTCTTCTCCACTTCAAACTCATTAGAAAAGGCAAAAGAAGGAATGAATTGATTGACAAGTCTAGCTAGAACTCTTCTCATAAAGAAAAACCATATATCCACGGGAGCTTCTCACCTCTTCCCAGGCTGTGCAATAGGATGTGGCCACCTTGCTCACAGGAAATGGGAGAAGTATTTGTTTCCTGTCTTCTAATGTAGAAATGCCAAGAGCAAACAGGAGTGTGAATGGTTGCTGAATTATTGAACAGTGCTTGCCACACCATTATCCAGGAACTGCTTGCTCTGAACTCAACAAATGAAGCTGCGTCACCCTGTCATCGGCTGCCATGCCCACTGCCCCTGAAAATGCCACTTCCTAATTCTGTTTTCCTAAAATCAGTATGTGAACTCCGTTTATGCTAGATGTGGTACAAGGTATAGAACTGTTTTATGTGTTGCTACGATTTCCACTCAAGTTAATGCTCTCTTTAAGAGTAAGATGATTTTATTGCTTGCAGTGTGATGATTCTGCGTTATGAGTCCATAAATAAATATATAACAGAAGGGAGCATAGCCCATCTGTTGTTGTTACCAAATTCCTGACTTAATGGCTGCTGAATTTATGTGATGATTCTGCATTATGAGTCCATAAATAAATATATTATATAACAGAAGGGAGCAGAGCCCATCTGTTGTTGTTACCAAATTCCTGACTTAATGGCTGCTGAATTTTACCACACTCTTCTTGGGACTTACACAATTTTAATAGATAGCATTGATTTTTCTTCCCCTTTCATGAAACTCAGATGTGTTTCCAGTTTCCTTTTTCATCTAAGCATAGAATACCCCAGGAAGGGGTGGCGGAGGGAAACCCCGTTCGCTGTATGTGGTGAATTTGGTTATATACCAATGCGAAATAGCAAAATCAGATATGTAAGACCATTCCAACTTGTTCCCTTTTCGAGTTTGAAAAGGAGACAGCAATGAATGAGAAGAAAATAAGAATCTCATTTTTACCGTGATCTCTTATTTTTCCAGGTATCTTTGGACAGAAACTGGAAGACACCGTCCGATACGAGAAAAGGTATGGGAACCGGCTGGCGCCCATGCTGGTGGAGCAGTGTGTGGACTTCATCAGACAGCGGGGGCTGAAGGAAGAGGGCCTCTTCCGGCTGCCTGGCCAGGCCAACCTTGTCAAGGAGCTTCAGGATGCATTCGATTGTGGAGAGAAGCCCTCCTTTGACAGGTATATGGGACAGGTCACGGCCTGACTGAGCATCCCTCAAGAGACGTTCAGATTGGGCAAAGGGATACCATGGCTGAGTGTCTAATGACTGACGTGGTAGATATGCAGAGAGTAGAGTATTAAATTTGACGGCACGGTTCTAGATTAATTTTACCAAGTAACAAAGGAAACTGTGGCACTTTCAGTGTTGTTCCCTGCTGTTCACTTTGCCTCATTTTAAGGCATTATTACTTGCTTGACCCCTGTGCTAGAATTAAACTATATTAACCTTTTGTATTGGAAAGATAAATTTGTTGTCTTTTAAATTTCTTTTTCTTTCAGTTAAGGAATTTTTAAATTTATGTTAAAATATTTATTTTTCATTTTACATACCAACCCCAGTTCCCCTTCCCTCCTCTTCCACCTCCACTTCCCTCCCCTCCAACCCCTCATCCATTCCTCAGAGGCCATTAGGCCTTCACCTTCTTTGGAGAGTCAATGAAGTCTGGCATACCAATTTGAGGCAGGACCAAGCCCCTCCTCCCTGTATCAAAGCTGAGCAAGGTATCCTACCACAGGAAAAGGGCTCCTAATAGCCAGTTCATGTACCTGGGATAGGTTCTTGTGCCACTGTCAGGGTCCCCTGCAATAGATCAAGCCATATGACTGTCACCCACATTCACAGGGCCTGATTCAGTCCCATTGCTGGATCTTGAGGTAGATTGATTCCCAGTTTTGTGAGACACTGCCATACTGACTTTCAGAGTGGCTATAAAAGTTTAAAAAGTGACTGGTAGATATAGAAATGTTGGTAATGTAATTTCAATAATAATAATATTATATTTAAGAATGTTTAGCTTGCCAGTGTTGGTGTTGCACGCCTTTAATCCTTGTACTGACAGCATGTATTGTATATAAACTCTAATATCAACAACAGCACACTTTGGCATAGTCCTCCTAGAACAATTAAAATTACTAAGGTCTTTAAATCAATAATTTTTTAAAGATTTATTTTTAATTATGTATATGCATATGTGTCTGTGTAAGAGAATATACACATGTGAGTTTGGGTACATGTGATGTTCAAAAGAGCTTGTAAGATCCCCTGTAGCTGGAGGTACAGGTAGTTATGAGCCATCCATATTTGGTGCTGGAAACCAAAGTCTAGTGCTCTGCAAAAGCAGGATATGCTCTTAATAATAATAATAATAATAAAAACACAGAGACTGTTACTGGGGTTCAAACTTCAAGCTGAAGGTCAAAAAAGCAAAGCAGCAGGCCACTAGCTCTTACCTCTACCTCAGACTGAAAGGGTGATCCAGCTAGCTCCACGAAACCTCAGACTGCAGTCCTATACTGCTGCCTCTTCTCAACGAGGCTGGAGACTTCATGAGACCCTTTGGTTTATTTGCTTTTGTTTTTTCGTTTGTTTTTTCTCTTTTTTTTTCCCTAGTGCTGGGATTAAAGGCATGGGATCCCAAATACTGAGATCACCTTGTGTGAGCTGTTTCTCTTTAGGACTGGATCAATTTCATGTAATTCAGTGTGGCCTTGAACTAACAGAGATCCATCTGCCTGTCTCCTGAGTCCTGGGATTAAAGGTGTGTGCCACCACTCACTGGCTCTATGCCTAGCTAGTATGGCTGCTGGGATTAAAGGTGTGTATCACCATTACTTGGCCTTATGGCTTATGGATAACTTTGCTTTCTGTACCCTTAGGCAAACTTTAATAAATCATAAATAATATATCACTACACCTTTAAACAGTTTTATTCCAAGAAGTAAAATATATATGTGCAGAAAACCTTAAATACAACATTGTTTATTATTGATTTTTATAATAGTAAATCTATTTCCCCCAGCAGATGATTAATGGAATAACAGGGAAGCGAGTATATGCTTGTACACAGACTTGTGTTTGAAAACCTTTCTTGTAATGTATTCAGTGAATAAGAGAATGTGATGAAAGCTGCAGAAACTCATCGTGCACTAGTCAAGGTTCTCTAAAGGAAGAGAATTAATATAATGAATATATGTTAAGGAGATTTATTAGTCTGCCTTACAGGATGAGGTCTGAGTTTTCAACAATGGCTGTATCACACTGGAGAAACTGAGAATATTGTAGTTGTTCAGTCCTTGAGGCTGGATGTCTCAGGAGTTCCTGGAGGGTTCCTGGAGAGTGGCTGTATTCAGTCCACACTGGAATCTGAAGAAGTTGCTTCTAAGATCAGTGAAGGAAGGTTGAAGCAACCAGTAGATGGGTGTACTGAAAAGACTGAAGGCAAGCAGGCAAAAAGCAAACTTCCTTCTTTAATCTCACTTTACCTGGACTTCCACCAGAAGTCACTCAGATTTAGGTGTGGTTCTTCCTGCTTCAGACAATCTGATGGAGAAGAGCCCTCACAGGAAAGTAAGCAGCATGGGTTTTAGTTGTTTCCAGATTGAGTCAAGTTGACAATCAAGATTTACCATTTATGTGGGATATTAAATTAAAATTAATATTAAAAAACTGAATGGATCAATACCTTTCCCTGTGTGCTTTAATCATGATTGCTTTTAACAGAGTCAATAGGATTTAGTTTTCACCTTGACCAGTCAAGATATATATGCTAAAAACTAGAAAGAAATTCTGGGAAGTTATTCTTCACCAATAATCTCTGCTCATTAAAACTCTACTGTGAAGATCTGACATTTGATTTTTAAAGTAGCTTTTCTAATTCTAATTTTTAAAACATTTAATATTTTGATACCATGAAATGTTATAAAATTTTAATTTAAATATTATTAAAGTTACATTTAACTCATTATACTTTGTACAAGATTTAGAAAGTAGAAGAATATAAGGGGATAGGTATTTCAAAACTCAATAACCCAGGAATCTCTTGGTACAGATAGCATACAACTTCAGTAAACACCTAGACGTATAAGTAGGGATCTGCAGGATTTAGATACACACAGTATTGGAATCCTGGTTTTTGAAACTTTGCTCTACAACATGGCATTGTGAGCACTGCTTTGTAAATGTAAAGCATGAGGCTTTACGTTTCTGTGGTTGTGACGCATCCCTGTAACCTCTTTGAGGAATGAATTTGGTGAGCGAAGACCCTCTCACTGACCTGAAAGAATCTGTATTTGAGGAGTTGCTCTCAGCAGTTAAAACAGCAAACAAACAAATAGCTGTCATAGTTTCCAAGCATTCTTGTTTTCATCTTGCTCCTTAGGAATGACAACAAGCCAATACATCACATTTTGTATTAAACTCCCCTACCACTTAAAAGCAAAGAAAATAAGGGAGGTGTAAAATCAAATTAGAACCCTATTGTTTGCAAAGCTCCAGATGGTGACAGCTGTCAGGGTGTGTTTTGGAAGTGCTGGGAGACACAGGGTCGAGAGTTTGGCAGTGTGGGGGTCATTGTCCTACCATTAACTGATTAGCAGTGACACAGTTGCAAACTTGCAACACTTCTTAAGGCAGGGCAAAGGCTGTATGCAGCTGAGGTCATCATACATTCTGTCCAAGGGTCCCACAACGGCAGCTACTGTGCTGGGTACTCCAGCCACCTACCCATATACTCCTTCATGATTCCTCCATGCTCCCTTCTATCCTCCCCCATTCATTCTTATTTTTATAAAAATGTTTTGGCAAAAAAAAAAAAACACAACAGACTATATCTTAGCAGAGAATTTTCTTATTCTGAAAATTAGAAGACAGAGCAGAGAGAGAAATTCAAAACCAAATGCCCTGGAGATCAATAGAGAGCTCTTGGCTTTATTGATCTGAGTTATAACATGTGATCTTCAAAGTGGAGAGCACAGCATATGGGAAAGCAGCTCCCAGACATCGTTTTGCATGACAGTAACTTGCAAGGACACCTTTAGATTCACTCGCCCCATATAAACATTAGGAGGTGCCTAGTAGGCTGTGCTTTAAATAAATCCTCAGGTGATTTTCTTCTTAGCGTATAGTCCTAAAACCATAACCCGGTAAGGGGTAGCTAGAACCCAGGCTGCAGCAGTGTAAGAGTGTACGGTGATGTCTTTGCTCACAAGCAGCATAGTGACATGCCTCAGTTTGTTTAGAAGTCAGGGAAAATAGCATCATCAGGAACTAGGTCTTTAGTTTCTGACTAGGTCTTTAGTTTCTGTGTGGAATTCAGTGGTGACACTTGTGTAGGTGTGCAGTGACAGACTTTAACTAGGTGCAAGTTCCACTGCCAAAGACAGTACCATTTTTGACAGGTAGTAAAAAAATACACTTAAAAAAGACAAACTTTTACAAATAGGTGTTTGGTGTGGTCTGGGTCAGCGTGTTCCCTAGAACAGGCTTCTCTGCCTCTTGATGAACTGAAGCAGAGCCGAGCTCAGCTCCATCAGGACATTTTAGAGCCACTTGCTGCTTAACGTTGCTGCTGGACGCCTTCAGCCCCATTTGTGTCCTTGCCTGATATCTGATGGATGCAACATTATTATTTCTTAATTTCGAGGGAATTTTAGGTTCTTTTTGTTGTGCCTCTTGCAGATAACTTCACAATACCTGTAATGCCATCCTGTGTGGCTGCATTAGAAGCTCATTGTGTTGGGTTAAGTCGAGGGATTGATTATATTGCATTCTGCACACAGTATCCAGACTCAAAAAATTCCCTTGTCTAATTTTGAGGCTTAACCTTTACAAGGTTTTGTCTGTGTAGGATTTAACTTGTAATTATAGTGGCATTTGAGTGTGTGTGTGTGTGTGTGTGTGTGTGTGTGTGTGTGTGTGTATTAGGAAAGAAAAACTGGAGTTAGAGGCTGAGAAATAAGGGATTCCTGTAGGATCTCATATCTCTGTTTGGATGGTTAAGGGTTCCATATTGTGCATAGACTATACACAGTGCAAGAAATTTACACTAAGTCTAGAGAGTGTTCTGAAAAAACACATTCCTACCACATCAGCTAGAATGTACAGAGAAGGTTGTGAAGCAGAAAATAAGGAGGTATGGTGAAGAATAAGTGTTGGTGTCCTCCAGTGAGGGATGGAAGCCCACAGAGGACAAAGGGATCAGTGTGACTGATCTCAGCTCTTTCTAGCCATCAGCATGAGGCAGTGTGTGCACACACATCCAGTGAGTGAAGGACCGCAGGATGAATGGAAGGCAACCCATGAGAACATATAAAAAGTTCAGTCACAGAAAACCTCAGGAAAGGCTCCTTTAAGTACTTCAAAGTGCAGTGAGATCAGATTGAGAAGTGAAGCCCACACAGGACATGGAGAAACGAGACTCATGTGCCAATCACTCCAGGAAACTGTTACACAGCTTCTCTGGCCCTGACAGCTCTTTTGCCGGGGTCTTCACCATCTCTGTCTACTTTCTTGCCATCCATGGGTATAGTGGCTATCACTGACTATCATAATTTCTACATGCAGTTTACCACTGAGGAACTCAGGCCCGTCTAATGACACATGGACAGGGAGTTTGATACTCCCACCAAACAGCTTGACTCTGAGGTAGTTCAGCTCTGAGTGATTAATCAGGAAGACTTTCTGTCTGTGTGGTGTCCTGTTTGGGGACTACAGGAGTCAGACAGTCACAGAACCCCCTCACTGCCCTGCAGTGATGGTTACCTGTGTACAGGTGTCACCGTTGTTGGTCACATGTGGGGTTTTATCCTCTGTTGTATATAGATTTTCCTGTGACAAGTCATATCAATTCACTTTGGGGAATACTGAGATATATATATAGCAAGGCATAATTGCTGCATAATTGACAAATGGTACTGGTATTTAATTGGGTGCAGATATTAAAGTCAATGTCAATTAGAAGAAGCAGTAGATTTCTACTGAGAGGGTTGAGGCTGGAGAATCAGTATGGGGCAGTTTTTGTTTTTTGTTTTGGTTTGATTTGGTTTTTTAATTTTTTATTTATTTGTTTATTTTTGAGATAGAGAGTTTTCTGAAAAGCCACCAGACTTCCTGCTGCTATAGCCTTGTAGTAGCAACCCCAGTTTACTGAGAGACCCAGGAGGTAAATCAAAGCAAAGCATGCTGGAACCTGTCTACAAGTGACTGTGTTCTTCTCAGTGGCAGAAGAGAAGTCCAAACCAAGACTGCTCGAAACTTCAAAAGCCTCTGGTTCTACAAAGTACCTGAGGTCTAATAGGGCCACAAAACAGTCGTACACTTTAAGATTTAGGCTTTAAACAAAAACAAAAGTTTAATAACCTGTCACCAACTGAATGAAGGGCAAATATACTTGGTCATTTTTGTCTTAATCATTTCTGTATAATTAGTGTGCATGTGTGCTATAATGCTAGACAATTAATTGTAATCTTACTAAGAGAAGGAATCAAATAACAGTCCTGCTATGTTCCACCCCTTTGCTTTCACTCAGCTCAAATATTTCAACCCCTGGAACATTCATGGCTCTTCTACTACATGTTCTGCTGGTGGAACCATCTTGCAGTCTTTAATGTCTCAGGCCGCCTCCTGTATCTCACTTTGCACTTACGCCACCTACTGTTCAAACATTGTCAATGACGCTACTTAACAAAAAGCTGAAAGACTGTATTTAAAATTATTCTTCCCAGCTCCATTAACTTACCTGTGTATTTCACAATTTCATGTTTCTTAACAGCTGAGAAAGTATTCAATTGTGTAAACACACCAAATTTTTCCTCGTTCATTCATCTTCTGGTCATCTAGGCCATTTCCATTTCCAGGCTATTGTGAGTAGAGCAGCAATGGACATGGATGAGCAGCTATCTCTGCAGTAGGATGCAGAGTCCCTTGTGTATATGCTCAAGACGGGTATAGCGGGATCATGTAGCAGATCTATTTCCAGATTTGTGAAGACACTCCACACTGATTTCTGTAGTGGCTGTGCCAGTTTGCACTCCCACTGACGGTGAATAAGTAATTCTTTCCTTGGTGTCCTCACCAGCATTTGTGGCCAGTTATTATCTTAGCCATTCAGGTTGGGGTATCGGCTGTGTCTGTTGGACTGCATATGATGAGCAGGATAGAATAATGCCTTTTCCTTAAACCCTGAAGTCTTTGACATAACACAATATGAAGTAGGTGTGCAGTAAATATAGAATAAAATCAACTGAGAGCCTGGCGGCACATTGTCCTACTTTGTATGGTTTTTGTAGAGACTCTACACACATGTCATCTTTGGAATAAAAGCATGTTCACCAGGCAGGACATCCTAGTGCCTATGAGCCATCTTCCCCAACAGAGACCTCTGGGGGGTAGCCCACAGCCTGAGAGTGGCCTGTGTCCTATCTCCCCCAGCAGAATCCTCCTTGGGTTAGCTCCCTTGTACTCCCACAGCCTGAGAGTGATGTGCAAGCTCTGACTTCCTCCAGATCTCTGATGGTTTGCTTCCATTCTTCCTGTATGGCAGGGATTAGCTTCCAATTGCTTCCTTCTTCTCTCCTTCCACTATATAAATGCATATATAAACATTGCATTGTTATATTGCATACTACATCGCATTGATATCTATGCCAAGCACCAGTCTTGTCTTCACTATCAACTGTCTTTATAGATTAACAAAAAATGGGAGACGCAAACACAAAAGTGTGAGTCAATTCAACCTTCTTGCAGATTATCCTGCCAATCTGGGTATTCTGCCAAAGACAAATTATGAAAGTTATATGAAGGTTCATATTAAATGTTCACAGCATTGTCTTTCTCGGGTTATAAGAACTCATGAGTATTTTATACTAGACAAGGAATTAGCAAAATCGGTCATGTTCAAAACAAGCTGTGCTTAAACTGTTAGTGCATGCTAAGTTTCAGATATCAGAAATGACTTGTTTGTGTCTTCCTGAAAATAATTTTAATCTTTTGAAGATGAAGTGAGAAATCAGAAATAATATATGCATTCATACTTGTACAAACTTGACAGAGGTTTTTGTAAATTGTCTTATTTTCCTTATAACCTGATATATTCTTATTATTTCCCAAAGTTGATGTTTTTGTTTTTTGTTAGCTATACATGCTACAAAAATGCTTGACCTTTTAAATGTTCTGAAACCAGACTGGAGACTTGGTATCCTTTAGAGTCCCTCTACTGCCACCCGTAGTGGCATCTACTGGACATTATGACAACCTGTGCTCCCTGAAACCTGGACCAGTTGATTCAACTGCAGACTTGGACACCATTTTCTTAGAAATACATTTGGTAAAAAATAAATAGAAATATGTAAATTCATGCCAAAGGATGTCTCCAAACTTCTGTCTCTGCAGCAACACAGACGTCCACACCGTGGCATCCCTGCTGAAACTATATCTCCGAGAACTCCCAGAGCCGGTCATTCCTTATGCAAAGTATGAAGATTTTTTGTCCTGTGCCACGCTGCTCAGCAAGGAGGAGGAAGCAGTAAGTTGATGCCGCTTCTGCATAAACACATATTCATGATATCTGTGATGGTTTTTGTTGTTGTTGTTCAATTTATGATCCTTTCCCTAATTTAAAAAAAAAAAAAAACCCTCTCCTTGAACCCTGTCCCAGGGTGTCTTTCTGTCTTGTGCTGCTTTTCTTAAATTACAACACTGACATCTACTTATCATAAACTCTTCCACATGAGAAGTGGTGGGTCCCTGAGGTCGAATGATGTGTTTTCTATGACTCATGATACTATCTTCTCATCTATTGTTTTATTATTTTTGCATTTTCTTTGGAGAACTATCTAGTTAGACTGCACTATGTTTTACTTGAGTGTCAGGCATCCTAATCCCTAAAGGGCTTGGTTCCAGGATTCCCCGAGGATATCTAAGCCTGTGATATTTGTGTCTTTTACATAAAAAGTGTATTATTTGTATAACCTATGCACAAATTCCTGTATATTTTAAATCACTTCTAGATATGTCTAAAAGCTAATATAAAACAGTGGTTCTACAAATAGTAATTTTAGGGCTCTTTAGGAAAAGTCTTCCCATGTTTAGTACAGAAGTAACTTTTTCTAATAGTTTTAATCTACAATTGGTTGAATCTTCAGGTATGGAAAGCCATCATTTGTCCATTTTTTTTTTTTTTGGTTTTTCGAGACAGGGTTTCTCTGTGTAGCTTTGGAGGCTGTCCTGGCACTCTCTCTGGAGACCAGGCTGGCCTCGAACTCACAGAGATCTGCCTGCCTCTGCCTCCTGAGTGCTGGGATTATAGGCATGCACCACCAATGCCCAGCTCATTTGTCTATTATTGTTGAACTGTAAATACAGTTTATATATAAATCATATTCGTATATGATTTGAAAATAGTTCTCCTATTCCATGTGTTAACTCTTCACTTTCAAGATGTTTTAGTTCATCAAAAACTTTGTATCAGAAGGTTTTTTTTTAACAGTTTCTATGAAATGTAATTTATCCATGTTTATTGCTCCTACTTTTTGTTTCATGGCCCAGAAGCTTTTGTTTAATGGAAAATTGTAAAGATTTTAGTTCTACATGCTCTTTGGAGGCTGTTACTTCAGCTCTCATGAGGAGTCCATTCTTGTCTGCGGCTGGAGGAAGGGTCAACTTTACTCTTCCTCACATAGACATTCAATGGTCTCAAGACTGTTGAAAAGTGTGTCCTTTTCACCAGTGGCAGTCTTGATATTCATGACCTGAACTGCTTCTTCTGTTCCTAAACACTTTTGTCTTCTGTGTTTCATAACACTTTCAGGAGCTTCCATTGTACCACAAGAGAATACTTGAGTAGTTGTAACAGGGGCCATCTGTCTTGTGAAACCTAAAATACATACTGCCTGGCCATGTAAAGAGAGAATAAATCAGACCCCATTATCAGCTGACCTTTTTGTGGCCCTTCTATGCTAGAGGACACTCTACAATCGTCAACACCACAGACATTAATTCTTTGTGAAAACCCCTTGAATGAGCCATCCCAGTGCCCTACCCCCAATGATGTGATGTAGACATGTACTGGACATGTCCCATGCAGAGAGGTGCTTGCCAACAGGCACACGTGTGTTGAGATTCTGTGCATGTTCACCTGTTTGTTTGTTTGTTTGTTTTCTTTTTGTAGATACCTTTATTGCAAATGAAGCTATCTTCTGTTTTCAAGTCAACTATAAAGAAATTTTTCAATGTTAAATCAGCCTCACTTTTAAAACTGTTTCTAAAATAGTAGCCTTATATTACACAGCAGCTCTGAGGAATGTGTCTCTAAGCAGTTGGTTTATTATGCAGAAACCACATGGCATATTTGAATGGTAGAGTCTATTGGGCCACTGTCTTTCACTGAAATGTTATCATGCAATATGTGACTGTATTTATAAAGGTATTTAAAATATTTGTGCATCTTTGAAAATATTTCTAAATTGTTCATTGGTGATAGGGGAACATTTCCAGGGTAGGGTCATCCCACGACTATGTTTTAAAAAGTAATAATAACAGCCAGAAAACCTGTATGGCTATTTCCTATTTGCTTGAATCTCAAGACTAAAACAGATAAGATAACATCCATTCCTTCTTTTCTTGTTTATACTCAGGGTGTGAAGGAATTAACAAAGCAAGTGAAGAGTTTGCCCGTGGTTAACTACAACCTCCTGAAGTATATCTGCAGGTAAGAACTTCCCTCCACACAAAGTTAAACCAGACAGCATTATATTTAATTTGGTGGTAATTTACATGTAGCAATGAATAAAACAACCTGGGCATCCAGCTTAGTCTCACAGAAAATTAATAAATTTGACAAGTTGATCTCAAGGAGTTCCTGTGCATTCAAATTCACCTGATTGTTAATGTGGTGGTTTTAAAATGGCTCTCACATCTAGACATTAAAGATATATCCCTCCAGGCTTTCATCAGTCATCTGTGGGGTTCTTTTAAGAGAGCCACATGTGGGCCTTCTGATGAGGAAGTCGGTTTGGGAAGGCCGAGTCTGTCATGGACTATTTTCTTCTACACCTTTATGCAAATTTCCCTCATTTTCTGAGTATAAAGAAGTAGTGAAACCAGATATGTCACACAGTCATTATGAGGTTCAGGGGACTGGGCACTGTGGCATTCACAGACAATGTAAGAGGGAGTTCCATCAGATCTCTTCCTAGTGATTGCTGCCTTTAGAGTCAGGTAGGACTTTCAACTTCACACCTTCCAAAAGCAAGACATGTTTTAACCAACACATATTTACAAACACAAAAAGCTTTCATCCAGGAATTTTTAATTCACTTGGGTTATTGTGCAAGGCAAGAGAAGTTTACCTCCTCAAGTAAGTGGGAAAATTAGCATGTTTGAATCTACTGCAAGTCTGAATGAAATAAAAATATTCCACTTGAAACACTTAGGCGGTCTTTTAAAGCTTTATTTTTAAAATGTTTAGGTATATGTGTGAATGTCATCTATGCATGTTCCAAGTATACATGGTGACAGCAGAAGCCAGAGAAAGATGGGTAGCCTGGGGCTGGAATAGTTGTGATCCAGCCATTGTGGGTGCTCCAAACAGAACAGTTTTCCTACTGAAACGTACCCGAGGTTGCGCTATTTGGTACCCTTTATTCTTTATCACTTAGTAAGTTGATATATATGTGTTTACAGTTTTTCACCAATAGAACTGACATTTTCATTCCCAAAATGTTTGTGCTTACATTTTAATAGATTATAGTTGGAGCTCACAAATTCCCCCATGACAATAGTGATTCCTCTTCTATGCAGTCATGGCTTTTACCAGATGCTCTCATATACCATTCTCTTACTGTGTATATAAATAATATCCAAGACATTGGGAGCATGCTAGTCATCTTTTTATTACTGTAAAAAATACCCCTAGCTAATCAACTTTAAATAATAAATGGTTGATTAGTTTCAGTTTCAGAGTATCAGATGTTCAGTTCGTTGTCGATCGGTCCTGTTGCTTTGCTCCTGCCATGATGCAGGATAACAAGGAAGAAACATGGGACAAAGCCATTTGCTTAGTGACCAAGGTTGTTTTTAAATCTTCAAGTATCTTTTATTGGTAGGCCATGTGCTGCCTTTGCTTATTGCATCTCAGATCACTGCATTTTTCTTCAGTTAGTACAACACCCAGGAGATTTATCATTTCTTCACAAATGTCTTTAAAGTCAGGCCTAGCTACAGTTGCTCAGAGAACAAGGACTGAGGCTTTTCTACCTTCTGTCTTTTATACCCACCCCTCTATGTGTGTGTGTGTGCGTGTACGTGTGTTTTGTTCTTTTTGACATTTTGATTATTTTATTGTTTGAGAATCCACAAGTGGTTTTTCTACCTTCTGTCTTTTTACACCTACCCCTCTATGTGTGTGTGTGTGCGTGCGCGCGTGCGTGCGTGCACGCGCGCGTGTGCATGTGCGTGTACGTGTGTTATGTTCTTTTTGACATTTTGATTATTTTATTGTTTGAGAATCCACAAGTGGATATTATGTGTTTAATCAGGTCCACTAAACTCCCTTCCCTCCAATTTCTTCCCTATTCCCTCCCAGTTTCATGTGCTCTGTGTGTGTGTGTGTGTGTGTGTGTGTGTGTGTTTGTCTCTCTCTCTCTCTCTGTCTCTGTATCTCTGTCTTCCCCTCTCTCTCCTCCCTGTTATCCATTAGAGGCTGAATCTCCTCACTGTCTCCTTCAAGGACACCCCCATTGTGACTACAACCTCCCACTAGACTTCATCTTTGAGGGCTCCATCATTTCCCAACAGAGTCAAATGCCTTTAACAAGAGCCTTTGTGGTGGGTTCATGTAAACCACAACAGAAAGGAATGCATATCCTTGACTCTCAAACCCCACAGCAACATCTAAACATATTGGTAATTTCCCACTATACACTTAATAGGCAGTGGAGACAAAACTACACCACGCTGGAGAGGTTCTTTGATATAGTTCCAAAAACCTGATGTCTCATCATTTGCACTGTAATTTCAATACATTGCAGTGAGAGATGTTTGAATCTCCATATAGTTTTGTTTCTGTAGTCATCTTTGAGTATATTTCAGTTCATACATTTCCCAATGATCCATTTTATTCCACTAAGAAATTGAATCTCGCTGTTTCAATGGTAATCTTGCCACCACCAGGTTCCTGGATGAAGTGCAGTCCTATGCAGGAGTTAACAAGATGAGCGCACAGAACTTGGCAACTGTCTTTGGTCCTAACATCCTGCGCCCAAAGGTGGAAGACCCTTTGACCATAATGGAGGGTAAGCAAATGACAATTACCTTGAGTCCTAACCAGGAAAAGTATCAAGAGCCTCCTGGTTGGCTTCAACCTATTCTCACTTCAGCAAACTACTAAGAAAATAAGTGAGACCACAGTTTCTCCATTAATTTACTCTGATTATTCTTTAAATGTAAAATATTTTCTTTTGAGAAGACAGAGCTTTCTTCACGTTATTTGACATACAACTGTAAAATGATTCCACGATAGCACTCAGTAACAAAGGAACTTGCGTAGATCAGTATATCACCTGAAAGTTAGCAGACAGAACTGGGAACAGTATTCACTTTGCAGTCTAGTGCAATTGTCAGGTCACTTTTAGTTAATAAGTATTTGTGAGCCTAAAGAGATTCAATGATTTCAAATGGTAGACAAATTTGACGTTTTATATAACAGTACTATTATTATTATTTACTTGTTGAAACCTAAAGGGATTGTTACTATTCAAGTTGCAAAACTTTTCATGTTGTTTCCATTAATAATCTACCTCTATTTACTTCTACCAACCTTAAAGATTGGATGACTTTCTTCTTTCACTTGTGGGCACTATAGTCACAGTTTTCAAAAATGACTCAATTGAACATCTCAGAGCTTAATATGCAATTTGGAAGAAGTATATTTAGTTTTAGTTTTACTCAGAGTGTACTTAGTCCCAAATAAAATAATAAGCTCACGTATGAGGCTCTTCCTTTCTTGAAAGTCCTAAGATTCTTATTCTACATTTTGAGTGTGAGAGACAAAGCCACTGAATATGTGCCTATCACCTTAGCTTAACTCTTTTCTCTGATATTAGGGAAATACAAGTTAGCATCATGGTTTAAGGAAAAAACAATCTAGAGAATTTAATCATATCTAAAGAATTTAATAGACTTAAAAATGTTTCTTGTCGCCGGGCGTTGGTGGCGCATGCCTTTAATCCCAGCATTTGGGAGGCAGAGGCAGGCAGATCTCTGTGAGTTTGAGGCCAGACTGGTCTCCAGAGTGAGTGTCAGGATAGGCTCCAAAGCTACACGAAGAAACCCTGTCTCAAAAAAAAAAATGTTTCCTGTCTGGCCACAGATAAAACCAATATGACTCAGAGGGTCACCAAATAGAATAGAAAGAGATGAGTGTGAGAATCGAGTAAAAGAGGAAAAATTGACCATGGTGGGAGTGGGATTAGAGAAGGTACAGGTGGAAATAACCAGAACGGATTATATACATATACGAAAATGTTAAAAAACACATTTAACAAAAATTAGAAGAAGAGAAAAGGCAATAAAGTAATATCTTATAGACTGAAATCCTAAGAACAAAAAATTAAAGTTCAGATGCCTGGACACAAAAGTCTGCTGTGGTAGTTGCTCTACTTGACATCCTAGAGTCATCTGAGAAAGACCTGGGACACAAAAGTCTGCTGTGGTAGTTGCTCTACCTGACATACTAGAGTCACCTGAGAAAGAACCCTCAATAGAAGATACCCTAGATCAGATTGCCCTGTGCACATACATCTATGGGAGTCTCTCTGGGCTGCTATGATTGATGTGGGAAGATCCAGCCTGGAAGTGGTGGAACTATTCCCTGACATGGGGCCCTGGAATCTAACTGCAGAGAAAGCCAGCAGAGCACTACACATTCATGCCTCGTTTCCCCCTGATCTTGACCCCATGGACATGGCTAGCAGAGCACAACACATGCATGCCTCTTTTCTCTTTGATCTTGATGGCAGATGTGATGTGACTTCTTGTGACTCTCCTGCTTGACTTCCCTGCTATGATGGAATATAACCTAGAATTGTGAGCTTAAAAAATTTCATTTTTTCCTAAGTTGCTTTTTTTTGGAGTATTTTAGCACAACAACAGAAATGAAACTAGAACAGCTGTATAATTGCATTTATATATTAAGTTTCAGCAAAAGCAAAACTGTAGTCATAGAAATTATAATAGTAGTTATGGGTGGGAGATGTGGGTAAGAGGTTGACAGCAAAAGGGCACAGGGGAAATTACCCATATCATAATTAGGTAGTTTTTCCAGGACTATGTACACTTGTCATAACTCATTGGATATCTTTGGATGTAGAAATGACAGCTGTATAGGTATTTGCTGCAAAAGTATAACTCAAAATTATATTATATAAAATACTGCCTATGTATCCTTACAGGAAAATTAAATTCTTAGCCAATGCTTATAAAGAAAACTGCCTGGATATGGCTTTTTAATTTAACCTGCACAAAATGATATAAGCCACAGGGGAATTGCTGGACTGTGCAGCTCAGTGTGATTCCAGAGTTAGCTTAGACTCTGCATAGTAGGCTGGTGATTACAGATGCTTGGACATCATTACTGAGGCTGGCTATCCTGCACTAATATTCTCAGAAAGAAAATGACAGAGAGGAGTGGAGGGAAGGAAACAGGTCTAGTTCATGGGGTAGCAGGCACATGTCCTCACTACCAGTTACAAAATTGAAAATCATTTTGCAGGAGACTATTGCCATTTCTCACCCCAGAGACTAGATGGTAGGGAAATGTCCCAACACACAAGAAAGAACATTCTGAATCTGTGGGACCTTGACACTCACTCTGCCTTGTGGCAGGCACACTTTATTCTGGATTTTTGCAAGCTCATCTTGAAGACACAGGAAATTTGTTGTTCAGTTAATTAAATGCCTCCCAGATCCATAACTACAATAAAAAGCAGCGAAGCTTCAAATGCTAACATTCCAGTTATGGGAGAAGAGGTTCAGTTTTCCCCAAATACTAGGCAAAGCCATATGCCGTATGAGCTGTAAATCCTCAAAGCTGTGCCTGTCACACAAGCAAGTGTGCCAGTGTCATGCTCCTGATTTCAGTGGTGAGAGGGTTGAGGACCACTTTAAATATTTATGTTCTATTTTAATCCACATATATGCATGTGCTTACATCTTTATGTATACACACACAGCTCATGCAGTTTCCTGCAGAGGCTAGAAGAGGCTGTCACCTACCCTAGAGTTGCAGTTATGGGCCGTTGTGAGCCACACATCTGGGCGCTTGGAACCAACCTAACTGCTGAGTTGTTTCCCCAGTCCAGGCCATTTAAATTTCTTTGAAATTTTTACATTAGACCCACTGCATTGAAAATGTGCCTAAAGATCCAGAGATTACCAAGAAACAGAAGCTGTATATACCCTACAAAGCATTTTCATTGTTTTGTTTTTTCAGCCTGCAATGCTGTTACAATTGATGGTGATTCAATGAATAATTGTCTTTAGTTTCCTTGTTAGAATTGGCCTAGATTTAGTTATTGTCGCTCCACTATTAAATCCTAGCGTTGGCATGTGCTAGATAGATGCAGAATTTGGAACCAAAAGACTGGATATTAAACTTTACCTTGGTCATTCTCCATCTGTGACCTTAAACAAAGACGTTAACCTTTCCCAACCCCACTTTTCATCTGAAAAGTGTTGCACCCTATCTCATAGACTTTAAAGAGACTTTATTTGTGACATTCTTGAAATGTCCCCACTCATTACCTTGTCTCTCAGACACAGAGGAGTCATCTAGGGGTAAATGAAAGTGTATCCAGGCAGGTCCTGAAGTTGTCACTGTTTCTAGACTGCTCTTGCTTCTGTCACATGGAACCTACATAGAAGCATAAAATCTCACATTTTACTCAATGACTGTTGCAATTAGAATCTGCTTTTTAACAAGAAATGCACATTGATGTTTATGAACCATAAATCCCAGTAACATTGGTCTGGCAGCTACCCTGTCACACTGGAAGTATTAATTAATTTTGAATTAACCATCACAGAAATAGTGCAGGACACAGATGGACATGACATTTTTCCTATTTAGACTGGATTTAAATATCTAGGTGAGGTGTTGCTTTAAGTGAAATGGCAGCCATGTTGCACATTGGGTTGTTGCTCCTAGTTAGACCAGTTAGCTGACTTAAAGCTTTTTCTAGTAACTGCAATGCTTGAACTTCCCAGGAGTTGGCTCTTTTTATCCCCAGTGAATCAGTGATACTTTACCCTCTGAACATCTCTTTTTTGTTGTTGTTGTTGAGAAGTGAATATGTTTGTTAATATGCTGGGACCTTGGATATGATTCTCCTTCCTTGTTGCTTCCGTTGTTCATTGTCTTTATAACAATTCCATAAAGTCCATCCTTTTACTTATGTGGAACTTTTGAAGGTTGTATGTTTTGGGCTTAGTTGTCTGTGAGTGGGTAGAGATTTGTGTAAGTGCCTGGAACCAAGAGTCATTATGTCTATCACAGGTTCTATGTACCCGATGAGCCAAGTCAACATCAGCTAGACAGGCAGGGCAAAAGTTCACCCTGCCTTCAGTGTCTGCTTGTGCCTCGAGGTCAGCCAGAGGGGGGGGGGGGGAATCTGCAGGTTTCTCACTTCTTTCCACTGCAGGAACATATCCGTAAGTGAGATCATTGCCATCTAAACTCTCCACATCACAGTTTTATTCCCAGGGTTGTCCTTTTTTTTCAAGTGTTGTCCTTTAATGTCTGGATTGGTTAAGTGTTTGTCTGTCTTAACTGTTACTCATTGATTCAGAGGAGAAGGATGGTTTTGACATGTTTTATGTAATTAATTGAAAAAATTACCTAAAGCAAGCTCCTAGTAGGTATGGGGTCTTCAGGGGGAAACCCAGAGAGGTCAAATGATGGCATTTCTCCATGACAGACCTTTGAGCTTCCTTCCAATACAATTCTGCCTATTGCAGTGGCTGCAAGACTGTTGGTTGTTACAAGGAGTGTGGATTTTTAATTTTCAAGTTATGATGAAGGGGTACCAATATCCATTAGTACCCAAACCACTTAAAATATCATGGAGTTCCTCCTTCCTTCAAGATTTCTCTAAGATACTTAATTTTTTAAGTTAATTTCCAGAATCCTGAAAAAGTTGATTCTAAAAATTGTTGCTAGTGCTTTTATGGAAAACAGGAATTGTAGAGATCCTCACTCTACCATTATATCCAATGTTCCTTAGCTCTAAATCTTTTTAATGACAAAAGTCACATGGAACTTTATTGCCTTATTGTAGTAAAAAAAAAATAATGGACCATAGACTCTATTTAAACACAATACTAGAGCAACAGCGGTGGGTTAAGTCAACATGGCCCTTCTTAAGCATTTTCACTATTAGAAATGGTAAACTTCCAATAAATGTTGTATACGGAATAAAGTCCATTTTCTAAAACATATTACTCTGAGGTCAAGGCCAGAGTCTGACCCAGTTTGTGACCCAAGTCAAGATGCTTAATCTTTAAAATAATGTAATAGTGACTATGTGTGTAGGTACATAGTATACATACATACATACATACATACATGCATACATATGTATCCATATTTGTACAGTTCATGGCACAGACTAGATGCTCAAGAAACTTTAGCTTCTATTGTTAATATATATTCAATAACAATATAAGTTGTTATTGGTAATAGTCATAGTAAATTTCTTTTAAATATCTTCCCTCAAGAGTCCAATTCAAAAGTGGGAAATACATCAAAACCACCCCCACTCAACTCTATTTTATTTTCTGTGTAATTACAGGCACTGTGGTGGTCCAGCAGTTAATGTCAGTGATGATTAGTAAACATGACCGTCTCTTCCCCACGGACTCAGAGCTACAAAGCAAGCCCCAAGATGGACTGAGCAGCAACAACAATGATGCTCATAAGAAAGCTACCATGGGTCAGTTACAGAACAAGGAAAACAATAACACCAAGGAGAGCCCCGGCAGACGGTGCTCATGGGACAAGCCTGAATCACCCCAGAGAAGCAGTATGGACAATGGATCCCCCACAGCTCTATCAGGCAGCAAAACCAACAGCCCAAGGAACAGTATTCACAAGCTGGATGTCTCCAGGAGCCCCCCTCTCATGGTCAAAAAGAACCCTGCCTTCAATAAGGGTAGCGGGATAGTCACCAACGGGTCTTTCAGCAGCAGCAATGCAGAAGGTGTCGAGAAAACTCAGACCACCCCTAATGGGAGTTTACAGGCCAGAAGGACCTCTTCCCTGAAGAGCTCTGGTACCAAAATGGGCACTCACAGTGTGCAGAACGGAACCGTCCGCATGGGTATTTTGAACACTGACACACTAGGGAACCCCTTGAATGGCCGAAGCATGAGTTGGCTGCCCAATGGCTATGTGACCCTGCGAGACAACAAACAGAAGGAACAGACTACAGAGTCAGGCCAGCACAACAGGCTCTCCACCTATGACAATGTCCATCAGCAGTTCTCCTTGATGAACCTCGATGACAAACACAGCGTGGACAGTGCCACATGGTCCACCTCCTCCTGTGAGATCTCCCTCCCCGAGAACTCCAATTCCTGTCGCTCCTCTACCACCACCTGCCCAGAGCAAGACTTTTATGGTGGGAACTTTGAGGACCCTGTTTTAGATGGCCCCCCACAGGATGACCTTTCTCATCCTGGGGACTATGAAAGCAAAAGTGACCGCAGGAGTGTGGGTGGCCGAAGTAGCCGTGCCACCAGCAGCAGTGACAACAGTGAGACATTTGTCGGCAACAACACCAGCAACCACAGTGCACTTCACAGTTTAGTTTCCAGCCTGAAACAGGAAATGACCAAGCAGAAGATCGAATATGAGTCCAGGATAAAAAGGTGAGTAAGCTTGGAAATCATTAGTTACCAGAGGGTGGCGACAACTTCCTACATTGATACTAAGTCGTATGGGACCAAATATGGTCCACCCAGGAGATCTGAGCTCAGCTCCTCCATTTACTGGTTGCCAGCTGTAAAATGTTGTGGAAGTTAGGCACCATCTACCTCAAAAGCACACAAGAAATCACTTACCTTGTTTCTGACACAAGAGAAGGTCCTCATCAATTCAATGTCCCTGTCTATAGTAGAGGAGACCTAAGGATAGGACAATCACCTCCTGCTTTCACTGGTAAGATATGCGTAGGATTAGAGTCAAACAAGAAGTAGGGTAAAGTGTTGGGTTGAAATTTAAAAAGCAAAGAAAAGTTTTATTTTCGTTTTTCACCATTTAACTCTGAGAGAGTACTTTTATCTCACCACTGTCTCAGACTGGGAAGAAGCTGATGAGCTCTGAGAGATGACAGGTCCAAGGTGACACAGGACTTGCAGGGCTCATTTTCAAGCCCCGACTTTTACTCTGAAATGGGAATCTGTAGAGACTTAGAAGAGCAGACACAAAGTCGATTAACATAGGGAAATGTGGTCTAAGCAAGGTATAAGATACATTCTCATGAGAGTGTAGTTGTGTTAAAATCTATTTCATAGCAACTTGCACTCTCCTATAAATGGCCAGGGCACAAGTTTTGCTTAGCAGCTTCCATGGGGAAGCAGACTGGGTGAGTCAAGGGCCAGTAGTTGTGTTCTGTGGCCACTGAGTTCTTGGTTGTCAGTGCCCCATCTATACTGGAGCCCAGGACTCATGGACAAACCCTTATGCTAGAGACCTGAAGATCACCCAACCCTGCCATGGTCATAGGATTATAAACAGTTTAAGTTTATGCTCTTTTAGTGCAGTGTAAAGCAACAAACAAATGCTGAGTTATTGGGCCAGGAGAAGTCAGGGCACCACAAGGCATGGCTGACCCAGGTCCAAGCCATGTTTATTGGAGATCCTCTTCATGAATTGCTTGCTAAGGTCATCAATAATCTGAATTTCATCAACTTCCTTGATTGCTCCAAACCCCACAGTTAGTTATGAAATTATATGATGCAATATATATGTATATGTCTTCCATACAAAGATGATAGATAAATGGATGATATATACAGTTGAATGTAACATATTGTAATATGTTTCCCATCTAATGATTAATTACAAAACAAAAGATAGCACACTTTCATAAGCTATGGATAATTAAATATAAATTAAAATACTGCTTAGGGGACTGGAAAATTACTTCCCCTGCCAAAGTCTTTCTGTGAGCTTCATTGGAAGAAAATGAGGTTTTGTAGTTTTCTCCCTAGCATTGTAATAACAGGTGGTATTAAAAACAGATTGTCATCTTATGGGTTTGTTCATTTCTAGGAATCTGATAGATGTGTGTTATGAGATCTATAGAGGGTTTCAGACAGCTTTACAAACAGCAGAACTTTCAAAGAGAGTGTCATTTCTCTCCCACTGCCAAGCCAAGGGAGAGGACTGGCAGGGCTGTTTCACACCCAGAACATGGGATGTGCAAGGGTTATTCATTACTTCCCTGTCATTGCTATACAGAATTACACACTTTTCTTCTAATTCTTTTTTTAACCCCACCTCATCAATACTATGGATGGATGGAGACAACAGGATGAGTGGTGGAATATTACATTTTGTCTGTCAGTCACTGCTGTGCACTGTTTTCAGTTTCAAACACATGAGTATGAGTTTACTGTTAATTCCAGTCCATCTCTGCCCCAGCTTCCAACTTCGTGTTCTTAGAAAATAATGAGTTGTACTCAAAGAAATTCATTTCTATGATATCTGTTATTTGGTCTGATGAATCTATTCTCTTATTAGTTCAGGATACTGTATACAACTGAAATATATACCTGTGTATAACAGTCACATATAGTTGTTAATCAGACCACATAAATCTGTACTTCTCTGATTTTTAACCTACGTGTGTAGAAATTTTGAGAAAGATACCTTAAAGTCTCATAACATTATTCTGGGCTTGTCGGTGCATCTTTATGAGTCTGTTAGGATTTTTAATGGATAACTTAATGCCCTACAAAATGTTCAGGATCATTCATGCCCTTGATAATCAATCCTTTGATCATTAAATAAATGACATTTTTGTAGTAAAGGTTTCTCCTAAAGTCCACCTTTCTGATACTACTGTGATGGAGTGTTTCTTTCCTTATAAAATTAGCATGTATTTCTTCCATTTCTTCATTTACAAAATACATGCTTGATTATTGATCTAAGGCTGTAACTCTTTAAATATGATCTATTTCACTGATCCCCTCCTTGTCTATCTTATCTCCCCATCTTCTCAGTTTTTCTCTCATCATAACTTCACTAAGGTGTATTGAACATTCTTAATCTACCCACCCACCTTAACTTTTGCTTCTTGTTTAATTTTCCTTAATTATTAGCCCATGTGACACTCTGTGTCTTTCAGGTCGGGTTACTAGTAATGTAATTCTTTTTTTTCTAAAGATCCAAGTTTGACAATTGTAGAAATTCATGAGTTAGACTTTGTTTTTATTCCCTTCCTTGAAAAGAGAACTTGTGCCTCAAGATCTCAGTTGAATCCACTAATACTTTTTGGCTTCTCATATACCAGAGTCCCAATCTTCAGTATAGGGCTAACACTATTATAGACTTCTACCTATTGTCTTATGTTGCATTTATTCCTGGGTCCCAATATCTGAACCTACTATTACTTTAATTTTAACCTTGACAAAGCATTCATAAAATGTTTATAAAATTATCCAGCATTGTTATGTGTTTGTTTTAAGGAAATTCCTTTTTGTTTTCTGCTCAGTCATTTGGCTTCCTGGAAATGTTTAACACAAATACCTTTGATATATGTGTATGTAAATACAGTTTCTGCATGGGTTACACTTGGCATTTAAGCTTCAGCTTTTTTAACATATTTAGTCCAAAAATTATTTTAGGGAGTATAGAGACTGTATTGTATGGCCTGGGTGACAACCAGCACACTTCTAGCCTCTTAAGTGAAAATTTGATTGTGTGCTGCAAATAGCTTCCTTAGCTATCAACTAGTAGAAAGGATTTGTTCTGTTCTGCTTTGCTTTTGGATTCAAATTACTTATAAAAGAAGGATAGTTTCAAATTCATTTTAAATATCTTGTTATCTGATCAAATGTACAGATTACGTAGAAGGCTTGTCTTTTTCAAAACAAAAAATTAATTGAAATTTCAGTCTTTAATTGCTATTAAGGTAATCCAGTTTTTTAAGTTCCACTGGTTGAATGAGCCCTGTGATACTTGAGCTCAAAAGAAGAAGAGTGAAAGTCAGCTTTTAGCAAATACATGCCATCAAGGACCAAATTCTAATACTCCTCTTTTAAAATAATAATACACAAACACAAGGAAAATGTCTACTGCAAAGAAACTTCATTAAATTCTATTCTTATCAAAGCCTGGTTATAAAGATACAAAGTATCCACGTCCTGTAAGAGACTAACAATTTGGAAGAACAATGGAAATCAGTGCTAACAATTGTGGACAGCACTGTGAATAGAAAGCAGACAGGAGGATGTTTATTCAGCTCCCACCACTGCCACCTTCCTGCCAACCATGTGGGCTTCTTTTTTTGTTGTTGTTTTTGTTTTTCATGACGTGGTTTCTCTAACAGCCCTCGCTGTCCTGGAACTTGACTTGTAGACTAGAATGACCTTAAACTCTCAGATATCTACCTGCTTTTGCTTCCAGAGTGTTGGGATTAAAGGAATGGGCCACCATGCCCTGCTACGATTCAGGTTACTATTGGTCCTTTCATATAGTAGGACCACACCCTCTTAAAAAAAACTCTATCCTAATCAGGGTATGTAGCCTGATTCTCACTGTTGCTGAAGCAGTTTCCTTAGAAAGTCTTGTGATCATCCTCCTTTCCTTCCACTTCCATCACACTTTGCCATCCATTCAGTAAAGCCAACTTGCCACAGTGTGCAGGAGGCTGCCCCTGCCTGTGTCCCTCTGTGCTACACACTTGAGTCTCCACTTTGTGTGCGCTGACAAGCAAGCACTTCCCAGGGATGTCCTAGAGATTTGTGACGGTGGCACTAAATCACAGTAGCAGATAGTAAATCAATAGCACCAAGAAAAACCTTCTCAGGCGTGGCTTTGATGCTTCCACAGGGCATGATCTCCTACATGCTGCAGACAGTTTAGAAAACAGAGCTCATTCGCTCTCACATTTTCAGAGACACGGCATTCACTTGTCTCTCATTTCCCCCTCCCATGCTCCGCAGCTTAGAACAGCGGAATCTGACTTTGGAAACAGAAATGCTGAGTCTCCACGACGAACTGGATCAAGAAAGGAAGAAGTTCACCATGATAGAAATCAAGATGAGAAATGCTGAGCGAGCCAAAGAGGATGCCGAGAAACGGAATGACATGCTCCAGAAGGAGATGGAGCAATTTTTCTCCACATTTGGAGATCTGACAGTGGAGCCCAGGAGAAGTGAGAGAGGAAACACCATATGGATCCAGTGAGCCTCTCTCCGATGTCCTGGACCACTCCAGGGAGGAATCTGGGAACTTGGGGGCAAACAGTATGGGGGAACAGTGTGGGTTCAGGTGGCTAGTCTGTGTAGAGCTTCATCTGATGAGGAAATCTCATTTACAGACATCACTATCCATATCTGCAATGTGTACCAAAGTTCTATCGCGCTCCATAATGCTACTGTCAAGTGTTACAACTGGATATGTGTATAGAAAGTAGTCTTTAAAATGTCAGCTAATAGTAAAATGCATATCTCAATGATGATTTTTTTATTGCAAGTCCCGTATTTAAATGTTGAATCAATCAATATGTTGTTGCGATTTAGCTTGCATTCAAGCTTCACCCCTTGCACTTAACATAAGCTATTTTTGGCATCGTGTTATCATCCGCTTATTTTATAGATCAATATTTTTATTTCCCCTTTTGCTGAGGAAATGAAGATGAGAAGAAATATAAATATATAAAGATATATAAGATGAGTTATTAAAGTCAAAAGAATACTTTGTGGCTGTGCTGTTTGTGCCAATAGACCTTGCCATGACCAAAAAGAGAAATGTAAAACAGTTTTATAAAATATAGTAGATTCACCAGGTACTTGTCAATGGTTCTTTAAATTCTTCAGTGCGGGCTGGGGAGGTGGTTCAGTGAGTGTGAGTTTTTGCCATGTAAGCACGGAGACCTGAGTTCTGATACACACCAACCACATATAGATCCAGATGTGGCCTCACACACTTGAGTTTTGATACACACCAACCACTTAAAGATGCAGGTGTGTGTGTGGCCTCACACACCAAAAACTTCAGAACTGGGAGTAGAGGAAGCCAGAGCTTGCTGGACACCAACCCTGTTACAGGAGCCTTATTCTGGGGAGACACAACATGAAAGCCCATGTAGGGAAATAATGTCAGACCGAAGTAATAGTTCTACCAAAACACAGCATGGAGAGCCGGGTAACTAACTGGGGGGTGTATATGAGGGGTGACTTATGGGAGCATGGACATCTCAAATGCTACATCACTGAGAAGCCCACCCCAGGCTGAACAGCAGCTCATAAATGACAGCTCATGTCATGTGTTCCCAGAGTTCTCTGCACCCCATGCAAACAATGCCACATGTTAGAGGGTCTCACTCCTCAGCAGTCCACACTGTTGTATAATCTTGGGAATGGAGGAGCTTTGTGAATCTGAGTTCCAGGGACTTCCTGAAACTTGTGAATTGATTACCTCCTGAGTCTCAGTGAGACTCCCTCCTGGGAGGACAGTTTCATTGCCATGCACCAGTAGACTACCTGTAAAGCAGCAAGTTCCAGGCTCACTGAGAGATGCTGTCTCAGTGGAATAGGTCAAAATATAATGGGGGAATACACCTGACCCTATTCTCTGGCCTCTACCTACATGGGTGCTCAAACCTATACTCCCTCCCTTCCTCCCTCTCTCCCTCCCTCTCTTTCTCCCTCTCCCTCTCCCTCTCCCTCTCCCTCTCCCTCTCCCTC